TTTATATTAATTAAAATATTAGTACGAGAAAAATAAATTCTGCATAACAAAATGGCAATTAATAATAAACTCGAACACAGTTCAGCATTAATAAATAAATAAATAAATTTAATGTTTAGTACTTACCATTTTCATCATTTTGCTTTGTTGCGTTACGTCGTTTCACAGAAGACAATGTTGACACTACGAACGTTGATGGTATTTATACCAATTTCATCCCTATCGAGGTTTAAACTTGGGAATGGGTGGGGTCAGGTAGGGTTAGTGCTCGTCCTTTGTTTTCCACGTTCGCGTGTTGTTACAATTTTGGTGTCGAAACCACTTATGGTATGTACACGCAAAATTACATTGACCATAACCCTGAACTACCTTACCAGTTCTCGTACCTCGAGTACCTTACGTAGCGTTTCAAGAGTTGTCTTGTGGAAGGCCACTCTGTCGTCACAATATTGTTATTATCCAGGAATTTAATTATTAAACCACGACTTAAAGTATATACAATTAAGTATGCACATGTAATTGTAAGAATAAAGTTGTGAAACCATCCAAGAGTTTAATTAATTTAATTTTTTTGACCACAACAAAATAAAAACGAGATCCTGTTTTGATATGATGTTACATGTATGATAATAGTATTAAAATTCTATTCCTTAAACATAAATTGATGATTTTTCCAAAAATTTACAAATATCAAACTATATGAATTATATAATTATTCCAAAGGTCGTATAATTCGAACCGAATCGAATTTCGTTTTCTGAGTAATTTGAGGATATCCAAAAATTATTAGAAAATCATTAAAAAAATTAACAATAATTGGAAAAATCGAGTTATTAAAAAAAAAACGAATTATCCGATATTTTCGAAAAAGAAATATTTCATTTGAAATTTGAATCGAATTGTAACATCCGATTCAATTCGATTCGATTTATTCTCAGGGGTATACCAACTACTAAATAGATACTTAATACAAAAATATTTTAGGGTTCCAAATCAAAGAGATAATAAAGCCTTGATGGAGCGAATTTATTATCTATCCATCTATCTTGTATGTAGGGCTGTCATCGCCTAAATTGCCGACACCGGATAAACACGGCAAAAAACCCGGACATTTGTGAGAAATATCGTTTTTTCCCCGAACACCTTTGAAAAAATATTTTTTGCAACAAAAATAAATACATCGTTATAATTTTTTAATTTTTATTAATTTATACAGCTTGTAATTAAGTACGTACGTAACCGCAACAAATAATAGAAATTTTTAATATAATTTAAACTTTCTTTCTGAGGTAATATGGGAACAAAAATAATTAGAAACGTTTTTTCTTTTTGGCATAAATCGAATCATTATATGATGCTACTAATAACTAACTAACTATAATATTTCATAATTTTAAAATAAATCACGCCACGGCTCCCGAACGCCCTTCAAACTAGGACAAATCCGAGGAATCCCAGACGGATGGCAACCCTACTTGTATGTCACATTATCACATTCCTACATCTATCCATATTTCACTAACTTCGACTTAAAAGGATTTGGCACAGTTTTAGAAACATTTTTAAAAATGGATAATTGTTTATATTTATAGAAAAAGATTTCCCCTTTCTCATGCTGTTCCAATTTCATTAAGCTGCTTCATAAAACAACGTACTTACTTGTTAAAGGTAAACCTTTTAAATTTTGAAGATTAGTTAATATATATAATGATCATGATCATAATTCAGAAGTAATGTTTGCGTAGTCTCTCTATAGATAGAAAAAAATCATTAATGTCGAAAAATTTCATGGCGGATCTGCCAATA